ATTCCTAGTTCTCTTTCTCCTTTGGGGAAAAAAAAAAAAAAAAAAAAAAAAAAAAAAAAAAAAAAAAAAAACAAAAAAAAAACACACAACCCACATCTGGGAGAAGTCCTTTCATAACAAGACCCTTAAAAAAAGCATAACTGGACCCCAAACACAGACAAGTATAGAATCTTAATATACAGCAAAATTGTCACATCTCAAGAATGCATTAAATATAACTAACCTAACTAAGCACCGTATCTCAGCTGATTCTACCTTAAACTTGCCTGTGGTTAGAAGAAAAATCTAACACAAAGCCTAGTTTATAATGAGGTGTGGACCTCTCTCTCACTCACACAGGTGAGTGTTTCACAGTTATAATGGGACTTTAAAACACAAACACATTCAAAATGCAACAAAAGCCTGCCCACGTAGAGTGTGTGCATCACTGGTTGCCAACCGTGACTGGCTGAGCACGGGCTGGGGTCCAAGCGCACTCTGTATCATAGACTATGGATCAACTTTGCCCCAATCATGAGTGGAACAAACCCAGGCTGAAGTACTCAGAGCATCTGATACAGTGCAGACTGAGCAGAGATGGCCAGGGACAGACCTCAGAGAAATGCAGACAAGGTGGAAGTAAGCAGGACTGGAATACACATACAGAATCCAGTTCAGCAATAGCAAAGTTGAGAAATGCCAGAAAGTACATTTAGTTGGCAACTCACACAATAACCTTCTTAGAACAGCACAAAAACACTACTAGAAAAAAAAAAAAAAAAAAAAAAAAAAAAAAACCTTATCAACACATGAACACTCCTCCAGAGTGAAATGGACCAGCCAGTGGTGACCCATGCATTTAATACCAGCATTTGGAGGCAGAGGCTGGCAGATCTCTGTAAATTCAAGGCCAGTCTGGTCTTCTCTGCAAGATAGTAGCAAGCCTCAGGTACATCTCACTACCAGACTCCATAAAAGGAAGAGCAACCCTCATTCTAAATTGCTCTAAAACAACTGCTCTTCAGATATTTGTCTGAAAGTAAAACTTGATGCCATTGAAAACCTCAAAAGCAGCACCGCTATCCAACAGATTGTGTGCAGATGGTGGACTGTGCTATCTGAAATGAGCAGGGCAGCCACTAAGTACGAACAGCAAGCACTTGAGATGTTGAATGAGAAGTTGGCAGAATAGTCACACATGGTTAGCGACTTTTGTGTTAAGACACCACAGACACTGAGCATCAACTTCTATCACTGTTTCCAAAAGCGATACCTGGATCCCAAGGATAGCTATGTACACCACCTGGTGACACCTTGGAAGGAATTACAGGCCTGTGTCAAAGCAGCCAGGTGATTGGTGGACATGGTAAGCACTGAAAAGCACAGGTCACTGCTTTCAGGAGTGACACTAATTAAGGGAACTTAAGAGCAGTCACTGACGGATTAATTTTTAGTAATGAAAATCCATACACTCACTGGGAAAGGACAAATGACATTCAAGCGCCTTCCCAGAAATGTAGTATAAGTAGCTTCTAAAGAAACCAAACCAAAATCCCCAGTTTGGAGACAGACACCACTGATACCCACATATTTTCTGCACAATGTGTACCCCCAAATTTCCAGCAATATCACATGTAAATTGAGAAGATCTATCACTGTACGTCTCAGTGCCCATTGCCATTTCAGAGTAGCTACATTCAACAGTTGTCATGGTGACACAGACAGTAGGGTATACTGAAATTACTATTATGTACTTGCCAGAGATAAAATCTTACTAATTAAAGCCCCATTATTCTACTTTTCCAACAGGGAATCCCCCTACCCCAAATAAAAGCAGGTAAGGCTGGACATGGTAGTAAATATCCTTATTCCCAGCATTCTGAGGAAAGAGGCAGACCATCTGAGTTCCATGACAGCCAGGTCTCTAAAGGAACAAAAAAGCAGGCTAGGAAGGTGTGCTAATACACTTGTAATCCCAACACTCAGAAGGAAGGCCCGGGAAGGAGGATCACATTAATGCCATTCTGAATGCGCTGAACCTAACCCAAAAAGGAAAATAAAGAAAACCCAAAAGCCAAAACAGGCAATAATCAAGTTCTACCATTTATAACTTTCATTCCAAGTCAGCATTTTACTTTTTACAAATGGGTTGCTGGGCAGAACCACTGATGTATTTACTGCCACATGGACCAGGGAGCCTTAACTTGAGAATACAAACCATGGTACAGCTTTGTATCTACTGAACTCCTCATAGTTTTTGATAGAATTAAGTTATGTTACTCTAAGCCTGGCCATGCCATGATTGAGAAGACACATTGTTTAGGAGTTCAGCACGTTCAGAATGGCAAAGAAAAATATTGCCTTCCATGTGCAACAAGAATGCAAGATTATTAAACAATTCTAGTAAATGGCTTGTGTTCAAAAGAAAACCCATCCACATGTACACACACATACAAGAGTACTTAATTCTTCTTGCAGAGGACCCAATCGGTTCCCAGCATTCAAGTGATGGCTCTCAACTGTCCAGCTCCAGATCCAAGGGATTAGATGCACTCTGCTGACCTCTCAGGCATCTCTCTCTCTCTCACACACACACATAGAGAGAGAGAGAGAGAGAGAGAGAGAGAGAGAGAGAGAGAGAGAGAGAGAGGAGACAGAAAGTGCCCATACATATATTCCAAAAAGGAAAACAAAACAAAAATCCACCAGTTGTGGGATCCTCCCACAGTGGGACTTCTCTAGACCCAATGTTAGAGCTGAGACACTCCAGTAAACCAGGCCTTTTATGTTTTTGTTTGTTTGCTTTGTCAAGAAGACACTTTTTGGTACAGCCTTGACTATCAGGGAATTAGCTGTGTAAACCAGGCTGTTCAAGAATTTAAGAGCTCCGCTTGCCTCCTCCTCCCAGTGCTGGGATTAAAGGCATATGCCAAAACAGCCCCATTTAAATAAGTAACAAAACCTTCAATTTCAATAAAAGCTATTTGTAGAACTTAGTGGAGACTCTCATTCATTTTGAATGCCTGTTTTAAAACTGTCTTTACAATAGTGGCCTAGTACATCCTGTTCTAGCATATGGGTTCTGACAGAAAAGCAACAGGCAAGTGAACTGTGTAACTTTTGAGAAGTAATGATTTCGCACATGCATAGCGCCTCACTGCTTCCACCAGTGGACCAATCACAGGTCTCCAAGGCTACAGCTTACCCTGCCCAGTAGAGGGTTCACAACAAGCAGGGCACAACAGAACCAAACTTTACACCCAACCCATTAGCTGTACAGGCTGACACCAAAGGCAGTAAAATGGAGAAGCATTTTATATGCCCAGCTTACTAGCTGAATATAACTGATGAAATTTAACTGCAGCCTGTTAGATGGGCTCCTCTTCTGGAAGAACATGATTAAGGGTCACTGGAAGCAAATTCTAGGCCTCAGATTCACACTTCATGTCTGACAAAAGCTTAAATGTTATTTAATTGTCAATGCATGTTTCTTTACTTGTACAATGGAGAAATGACACCTGTATCTATCATGCAGGCCAACGTACATGTGAAGTGACTACAGTAGTATATAAGTGTTGTGGTTATTAACTCCTATATAGTATACATCAAATGCTTCTGTGGGGTTGCTAATTCATCCATTCCAATGCTAAGGGATAATCTTTTTATACACTGTACAGATGTGTCTCTGCCTAAGACATCTTCTGACTGGTTTAATAAAGAACTGGATGGTCAATAGCTAGGCAGGAGAGAATAGACAGACTTCAGAGCAGGAACTTAGGGTTTGAATCTAGGCACATAAGAGACACGGAGGGAGTTGGACATACACAACGGAGGGAAGCTACAGGGAAGAACGTAAATTAACAGAAACAGATTAATTTCAGCTATAAGAGATAACTGGGAACAGGCCTCAGCTAAAGGTCAAGCTTTCATAATTAATTTAATAATTTTGGGAGCTGGTGATCCCAAAATCCATTAAGACTGGTTATATTACTATTTACCCATTATAAATCATTTCAATTTTCTATTACAAAAATACATCCTACTGAAAGTTTTAAACTTTACAACTATATTTTATGATTCTTTCTACAATTCTTAAAAGTTGATACTTCTTACAAATGAACCATATCCTACAACATGAGCATTCATCTCTAATAGATACTATTAGAATACTATTTGTTGGTAACAAAGTCTCATCACCAGCACTTTCGTGACTACACATTCTACCATCACCTTCAGGTGCCCCACCTGCACCTCATACCCACAAGATAGCAATGAATGCAGCCCAACACAGATCACATCATGTTGCAATATCAAAAGATGAACATCCCTGAATGATCCACACTTACAGTAGACATTAGATACAGAATGCTGAGATTATGAACATTGCTATTTCTAGAACACTGAACAGGAACTGTTTGGGACACCAAGACATCTTAAAAGTCTGTAATAAAAGCAATGCTATTGATTCCATATTTATTTTAGAAGGATCTTTATCAAGTTCATCAGTGTGAAAAGGATGATTTCATAATAACCACTTAAAGACAGCATTTCTCTCTCTACTAGTGATTTTCATTCTGCTACCATAGTTCAGCTCACCCTTGCGTCTACAATAGTCACGCCTCATTTCATAGGATCTGAACTATACAATTGTGTATTGCAGACAATTGCTTGAAAATGATACAAGGAAAGAATAGATCAAGATTTCAAAGTTTACAGAAAACCATACTGCAACAATTGACCAATATAAACAGCTCTTATACTTGTTTATTCTGTTTCATTCAGATAATAACACTAAGATCCTAACACACATTCCCCTATACTCTCCTTAAGCTAGTTTTCTGGTCTTTAAGTAAAAACATCTCCAAGTCAACAATTAGTTTTCTAGCCACCGTTCTTATCAAATGGTGATACACCAAAATCCCAATTCTCATGAATTTTAACATAGTCAAAGTACATTATTTAACCTAAGATTGAAAACTGTGCCTTAACTTTATTAAAAAAGATAGCCACATCAGTTTAACTACATGTGATACTACCTATTCAATTTATTAAAAATTGTAGTAAACATAATAATAAACTAGTGCTCCAAACTTAGGCTGTGCACGGGGAAGACACTATAAGAAGACACAAGAGACTGCCTTGGCAATATGAAGTACAGATTCCTTCTACAGAGATGGAGAAATAAAAGGACAAATCTAGTTGTCTAAAAGACAATTCACTGTACACATTTTATTTACAGTTTTGTACACTGTCTTAATATGAATGGGACCGCTTTTCTACTTGAGCCATTTGTAACCAAAGCAAAATAACCTAAGTAATACAAAGTGTTAAAGTACAGCATAAAGATACAAAAGCAGACATACTAATTCTAGATAGGAATGTAATTATGGTGTTACATTTTTATAGTCCACAATTATGTTTAGGGATCACACAGACATAGATCACTGATTTGAATGAAATGCATAAATTTGTAGCAAAGCTTTGTAGTTACAAAAAAACAAAAAATTACCAAAGAATGCACAAATTTAATGTTTATTCCACCTTTCTGTCATATTCCTGGATCCTTCACCAATGTTACATGCGGAAAAAACAAAAGCAAAACAAATGAAAAACTGAAATCAGAATCACTAATGTTATCAAGGAGGGAAGCAAATAAATTAAACTCTAGCAGCCATCAGCAAGAGGACAGCAAGGAGAATGCTGGGAAAGGAAATGAGGTTGCTAGAAAACTGTACTCAGACTCTCACCAGCAAAAACACGCTCCTGCACGGAGTGGAACAGAAACAGGTCTTTTCCTGCTAAGGTAACAGAAATGCAAGTTCTTTTTCGAATACTGTGGAAAGGCAAATGTGTGTATCATGGTAATTCTAACCAGCTGTTACAGTGCGGGCCAGGAACACATCTGCGAGTTTTGGGGTGACGGATACTGTAATTCTTTGATTGGGATAGTGGACACACTAGCAAAAATTGGGGGGTGGGTAAGAAATGAACACAGAGGTACAAGACAAAGGCGAATGAGACTTCTCTTATATCTTAGCAACAAAAGATGGAATCAAACTTCAGTGCAGTCCACTCTGCTTGGACGAGGCTTTGGTTCAGCTCCCAGTCTCGATTGCGTGACGCAGTCTCCTGTGAGAATACTCAGGTGTCTTCTTAAACAACAAACCTATTTTTAGTGGTGGAGCCGCTCTTCGTAGCTGTGTCTGCGTGGGACTGGTAACCAATCACTATCTTTGGAGGAAGTCCTAACCTTTCCTTGTATACCCTCCTAGAAGACAAAGGAAACAAGGCCTTCAACAACTCTTCCTCAAAAAAAAAAAAAAAAAAAAAAAAAAAAAAAAAAAGTTTAAAAAGGTATTTGATAAATTCATCATATGTTAGTCTTTACATGAAAAATGCTCACTCAGGAAGCAAAACAAAAATTGACTCATTTTATTTCAGTATAACTAGCAAAATTAAAAATTAGCATATACTTTCAACCATACTTAAGTCACTTTATAAACATTTACAATCCCACCAGGTCTATGTAGGGTACTACAATAATTAGTATTAAATAACTAGTATACAATGAAGGATCAGTCCATGAGCTCATAGCACTTGTATTTTACAAATCAATAATAAGTAACTATGATGAAATAGTCACACATGTACTTCACATATTTAAAGTAAGTAATATGCACATATCTCCTTCATTCCTCTATCTAAAAAAGTAAAACTAAGGTGGGTGTATTGTCATAAGCCTGGAATCCCAGCATCCGTTAGATTAAGGCAGGAAAAGGCCAGCTTGCTTTACATGGCAAGACACTATCTCCCAAAAAAAAAAAAATCAAAATTGATATTTTACATATGAATTCTATTAAGCCTATGTACTAACTTCTAACTTCAGAACCCAATTTTCAAATTAGTTGTGACTTCTTTAAGAACAAATGTGGTGTGTACTAAACAAGGTTAAGTATGTAAATATGAGTTCAGAGGATCTGATATGAAGTATTAAGAATAATCTTTCCTTAAAGCCCAATAGGTGGCTGAGCTTTGTGGCACACACCTTTAATCCCAAGCACTTGAGAAGCAGAGGCAGGTAGATCTCCGAGTTGGAGGCTACCTTGGTTTACATAGTGAATTCCAGGACAGCTAGGGGTATGTAGAGATGCCGAATCAAAATAAATGGACGGATGGACAGACAGACCAATGTCAAGGAACTAAGTTTAGCTGGGCTTCATTCCTTGAAGATTAAAGACTAAGAAGAAACAACAAAAAGCTACAGAAAAAACAAAAGCCTGAAAATGAGCACAGAAGCTCCTTGTTAATCTTACAAATCTGAATTTTTAATTCCTAGGGAAAAATACCAAACACTCAAAAATGAGCAGAAAGACCTAATTTTAGAGTTTTACATTCCAGAATTTAACTTCTAAACAGGTTATGTTATTTTATTTTTGGGGGGGAGGGAAGCTGTCCTGGAACTCACCAGGCTAGCCTCAAACTCACAAGAGATCCACCTGCCTCTATTTCCCAAGTACTGGGATTAAAGGCTTATGACACCACTGCCCAGCTTATTTTTTGAAATAACTAATCTGGTAACTAGTATGAGAAAACACTGAAACAGAATAATATACACTTTACCATTAAAAATGTATTTACAAAATAATAATAAAAAGGCAAGGAGTTGAAGTGTACCAACTGGCAGTGTACACACATACACACAAAAAGTATTTTCAGCCTGGCTGTGGTGGAACACATCTTTAATTCCAGCACTCAGGAGGCAGGCAGATCTCTGAGTTCAAAGTCAGCCTAGTCTACATAGCAAGTTCCAGGACAACTAGGGCTACAGAGAAACAGTCTTCCAAAAAAAAAATCCTCAAAAAAACAAGAGGTTAAAATGTTTCAGGTTTCGTCAGGCAATGGTAGCATTGAGAGGTAGAGGCAGGCTGATCTCTGTGAGTTTGAGACTAGCCTGGTCCACAGAGCAAGTTCCAGGACAGCCTCCAAAGCTACACAAAGAAACCTTGTCTCAAAAAAAACAAAAAATAGTTTTAAACATTCAATATCAACAGAGCCCAAACTTCTAAATGTTCATGAAAACATTCACAAAGAAAGTAACAGTTTATAAACTCCCAAATTTCTAAAGCTAGATGAAAAAGACTTCTAGATTTAGTTAATAATGTCAAAGTCAAAAAACGCACCCTATGTGTGTGACTGCGTCTCTGTTTTCACACTCAGTCGTCCATATTGCTATCTTATCACCTTTAGCTCTAACATTAACAACAGCTCCACATACATCATCACTGTAGTCATCAAAAGATTCTCCAATAAGGCACAGCAGCTGAAAAAAAAATTCAAATTAAATTAAACATATCAACAAAAAGAAAAGCAAGTTCTCTTTTCTAGGTGCACTTTATAAAACTAAAGCATCTCTTAAATCAAGAGCTCACTTCTTAAACTGGCCAGGCAGAAACAGTACTGCCAAGTTTGAAGCCATCTTCATCTACAGAGACAAAAACAAAGCAAATGAATAAAAAGAAATTGATCCTTAATTTTTTATTGTTGTTGCCATTGTGGAGGTGATGACAACAGGACAAACAGGTAATGGCAAACCAAGGAAGAGGACACCTGGCATCTGGCCCTGCCCTTCCATCCCATACAGGTTCTGAGAACTAAACTCAGACTTGGCAGCAAGCACTCCCACCCATGGAGCCACAGACCAACTTAAAAACTGACATTTAGCCAGGCAGTGATGGCACATGTCATTAGCAAGATGACTGAAATAGCTACTTATGCTCCCATTTAATTGCCATGTTCTACCAGTTTCGAAATAGAGTTCACTGGCATTAAACACGTTTAACATTGCTGAGCAACTGCCACTAGAATCTACAGCCATAACTGTTTTTAACTTACAAAACTGAAATGTCCTTTTCCTATGGCAGTGGCTCTCAGCCCATGAGCCATGTCCCTTTTGGGGACTGAACAACCCTTTCACAGGGGTTGCCTAAGACCGCCTGAAAACTGCAATCCATAGCAGTAGAAAAACTACAGTTATAAAGTAGCAACAAAACTAATTTTATGATTGGGGTTAATACAACATGATGTATTAAAGGGTTGCAGAATTGGGAAGGTTGAGAACCACTGTCCTATAGGATTCCAAAAATGCTATTTAATCATTCTCCTCCAAAAGCATAATTAAGTTTTTGCTTTAAAATATTACTGATGACACACATATAGTAAGTGCTTATTTATATAGTGAATGCTAACTATAAATCAGATATTGAGTCTAAGTGGCTATAAAAAGTATCAACTATATATAAACTCTGTTCCCAAAAATTAAGATCTAGAACCTGACCACAGAAAATGCTTAGTGTAGCTCATAAAACCAAAATGATAAAGTACCATATCAAAACACATAAGCTAAATAATAATTAACAATTTTAGTGTTTGATTACAAATTTCAAAATTTTATAATTTTTAATTAGCAATGCTATGAGTGGGTTATAAAAACTTTACATCAATTATAAAATGTGAGGTCCTATCATTTCTGATTGATGAATGAATGAATGAATGAGCTGATAGTAGAAGGTGTCAATCACTCTGTATCTGACTCATAGATAAAAAAAATCACTCACATGTACATGATAGTCACATGCTTATATAACCGCAGCATTCCAAGGCTGGAGGCAGGAGGATCCTGAGCTCCAGCCCCAGCATAGCTATGTAGTAAAACCCAGCTAGGCACACCCAAGGCCTTCCCTAAATTTCCTAACTGGTGTATAAGGGACTGGGTTCCTCCATGCCTCTCTTCACAATGCTGTCATCATGTCATCTTCTCATTTCCACTCCACACACGATTCCCTACCCCACTCAGTGCTGCCTTTAAGTCCCTTTAGCCCATCCTTGTACTTTCCTATTAAGCGTACTTACTGTCCTATTTCCAAATCTCACTGGGTCCTGTTAGTAGCTTCATGACCTAAACACACATTACACATTTTAAACCTAAGTTCTACATATGAGAGAAAACATGATATTTTTTCTTTTCAGGTCTGACTTACTTTGCTTTAACACACTTATTTTCTAGTTACACCCCCCCCCCAAAAAAAAGAAAACAAAAACCATAAAATGCTTCAGGTATTGCATGCCATTCTTATGATACTAATTTCTATTTTGTTCTAATTTTAGTATATACAATGCAATGTGGGCACAAGCATTTTTCTAGAACAGATAGCCTGAGTAAGCCAATGAAAATACATCCTAAAGCCGGTCTATAATTTTAAAGCCTTACTTACTGTCTCTAGCCAAAAGCGATCGAGATCACTTCGTCTCTGCTGTTTGTTCAATGTAATTAGCCATCGTCCTCCCCGTTTGTTCTTCTCATCTTCCCACATAGGCTCAATACCATCCTACAAAATAAGAACACAATTAGAATCAGCAAGAAACAACACCAACAACTTTTCTTTTATTCCCTACACCCCTGCCTTGGTACGGCCTTTAAAAGGACACAAAACATAAGTGCCCGAGGCATGTGACCAAAGCAGAGTACCACATCATCACCAATTATCAAATCTTAAGGTTCCACTTCATCTGAAGTTCTGAAAATTCCCAAGAAGCAGACACCTTTTAGAAACATTAAAAAATATATATATGAGCCAATTAATGTCCTATCCTAGCACCTGACAAACGTCTTCATAAATATCTCATAGGTTTAAAATTAGCTGATGATGTCAGTCTACCCAAGTATATCCAGGAAAGGCTGTACAGGATTAGCAAGGCTCAAAGTCAATCCCAAAATGTGCCCAGTAATTAAGTCACACCAAACTGTTATACTAAGCCTGGTAAAGCCAACTGCCTGAATCTACAGCCAGTCTTTCACAAATACCTGAATGACCTGGTCCTGTAAGAAATATAAACAATCATTGATTAGGCATACCTTAAAAAGTGAGTAGTCACAGCCAGGCATTAAATTACTAGACAACTGGATATGGTTGTATAGACTAGGTAAAAGAAAATAATAATTAAAAACATAGTATGTAATGCAGGATTTGGGTGCTTACATAGATAGATACACACACACACATATATACACATACCTGGAAAATATGAAAAAACATGAAAGCTTATGTACAGTTTTCTTTTTGATCTAATTTTGAAGTGGACAAAACAGGTCTAAATAATGACTGCATTCAAGGAAATTTATAATGTAAATTACTACAAAGAACTATATGACATAACTTAGAATAAAGAAAAATATTTCTATACATTTTAACTCAACTCACACATGTGCATTTAAAAATACAAAAATAAACCACCCAGTCTGCATGGTTCAATCAACACTATCTCCCCAGCAAGTGACCAAGAGTATAGATAAGAGTGGTTCTCCAGCTCCAAAAATGGTTCCAGGCTGGTCAGCACCTGGAGGTTGAGGAGCTTGGGAACATGCCAGGCTCACAGTCATATACCAGTAGTTGGACCTGTATTTTTGAGCTATTTCCCAAATAGTTAAGCCATGGAGCAGTATTTGAGATGTTTGATACTTACTGCCTGAAGGCAGAAGACTGTATCACTTATCTCTTGTAGTCTTAAGAGTAAAATTGACTTAAACATTGGTAACAGTACTTGCCTGTCTCCAACATCAGAAGGGAGAGATTATCTTAGTTACACGTATGCAAACTTTCAAACTATATATAAGAGGCATGTTCTCCCATGCTGACTTTAACTTTGTTTAAGAATATTTTGGACAATTTTAAGAATTCTACACCTTTCTTATCACATTACACAGTATAGTCCTGCTTGAATAAGATAACATTATTATACATAAGGTATCTAAATGGTTCATAATTCCCAAACCACAACCATCAAGAATCGTAAGATTACACAGATGAGATTAAAGCAGATGGACTAAAGGGTTATTTATATAAAATCTGCCAGAAAGCAGTGAGAAATAAAGATGTAGTCAAGTACACAAGAAGGTAAAGGATTCTTTCCGATCTTAGTTACAATGCCCAGTAGCTTACACAAAGCTATGGGGATATGATCTACTAGAGGACAAGTTAGAAACAGTTATATAAACTTGGCAAAGCCAAAATATCCAGAGCAGGTGCAAATGTGACTGGAGGTGGGGTTCAAGACCCTTCCCCTTAGTAGGAAATTAGAGGGCTTCCTTCTGTCTGTGTGAAGAAGGCTTCAGTTATTTAAGAATCTTGCAATAAACACAATTAGAGTACAAAAACTGCTTCAGGCTTTCAAGAACTCCAATTAACTAGACTACTACCTCTATCTGCTATTAATTAGCAGAACTTAAATATACTTGTATCATAAAAAGAAAATAGCAGAATGTTCTTAAAGGAGAAAAAGCGAATTCAACAGATTTACTCTATACTTTGCCTTTTTCATTCATGCAAGGTATACCAAATGTCTATTACAAACCAAGCATTGAAAACATTTAATACTGACTGTGCCCTTGAAAAATACACTGCTATGAATTATGACTACAATGCATTCTCACATGTGAGCAAACATGTAGGGAGTTACATGAAAATGTTAAGAATCAACAAATTCAGCATGTATGAACCTAACATAAACATACAGACAGAGCAACTTTGAGGTTGCTTAGACTCTTTAAAATTTTTCTCGAACAGTATTCCCCTATATATTCTTCAAGGAAATCAAAGCAAATTAACTTTGGGGATGAGCTGGGATGCAGCTCAATGGTACAACATTTTGCCCAAGTTTCTGAATGTGATCCTCAGAAAACAAAAACTATTAGAATGAAAACAACTGATTCAAAATTTCTAAGGCATGGGTGGTATATGTCTGCTACATCTTGAGAGGTAAAGGCAAGGCAAGTTCTAGAATACTAAAACATTTTCAAGAATTCAGCTACATCCTGTCTAAAAACACAACACTTTTAAACTTTCACTTTATATTCTATTTTTAAATCTATGAAAAGTTTATGATTGCAAGTCAACTTTTCCTAAACTGAAAACTAAACACTAAAGAAAAATTTCAATTACTGTTTCACAAATTACAATAAAACTGGTAAATTAACACACAGACACCATCATTCTCTTGACATGTCTCTAAATTTTAATCACATCAGCAGGTATCACACTGAAAACTGTTTGCAGAGCAGGCTCTCCAGCACCCTGTTATGATGACACAAACCTATCTAGGTAACTGCACAGGGGAACAAATTCCAAAAATGTTGTCAAAAGTTCTAGGACAATAAGAGGGGATTCTCACAGATGAGGAAGAGACTATTTAAACCTAGGCTTACTCTAATGAAAATGTTCCTTTTTTGCTGTTTGTGGGGATGCAGATCAAGCATAGGGCTTGTGTATAATACTACACAATCAAGTCAAACATTTGTGAAGGAACAAATGAACTTCATCTTTCACTGTACGAATGATGTAAGATGAAAAAATATGTAACTTATATTTTAAAATAAAATTACTTACGCCCAAAAGTCTTCAACAGTATCAAACTTTGAGATCAATCGAAGGTTTGCTTGCCAAGTTTTGCTTTTATCATTTTTAAAAAACCAGAGTGCCCACCTAAAAATAAAAAGCCAGTATATAAAAAAAGGAAAATAGTTGTCAACCCATTCATAGTATAATTATTTTCCAGTCAAAAGGTAGAGATGTCCATCAGCATGAAAATGATGTAAAATGTAGTACTGATATATCGGGGAAAAGTAATTAGCCTTCAAGAGGAAATCTGACACTCAGTATCACAAGGATGAAGTCCAAGAACATGGGACTATATGAAGTAATGCCTACCCCAACCCACTTACAGGAGGTGCTAAGGCATCAGATTTGGAGAACAAAAGTGGTGCCAAGGAATAGACAGAATGGTGCTGACAACTTATCTAATGAACGTGTTTAAGATGAAAACAGGAGCCAGGTGGTGGTGGCAAACACCTTTAATCCCAACACTCAGGAGGTAGAAGCAGGTAGAGGTGGATCTCTGTGAGTTTGAGGCCAGCTTTGTCTACTGAGCTAGTTCCAGGACAGCCAGGGCTATTATACAAAGACACCGTCTCGAGGGGGGAAAAAAAAAAAAAAAAAAAAAAAAGATGGAAACAGGTCTAAGGAATAGCACAGCAGGCAAATGTACTTACACTAGCAGCCTGGTGCTGAGTTTTGACAACTGGAACCCATGTAAAAGCCAGTTTTTATTTGTCCTATGACCTCATATTTGTGCTGAGGCACGTGAAAACCTTTACAAATGTAGATATACACAAAAACAAATATTTTCATAAAATACACTGGGGAGGGTGAGGGAGGTTTAAGACAGTTTCTCTGTGTGGCCTTGGTTGTTCTGAAATTCTTTGTAGACCAGGCTGGCCTTGAACTAGGAGACCACTGCATTCCTCTAAGCTAGGACTAAAGGCATGTGCTACCTGGCTCTAAAATACATTTTTTTTTAATAAGATGAAAATAGGTTTTGCTATACAATATAACGTGAATGCAATTAACATGACTAAGCTGTAGGTTTTAAAAGATTAAGAGGGGCTGAACAGGTGGCTCAGTGGCTGAAAGCTCTGGCTATTCTTGCATAGGACCCAGGTATAATTCCCAGTACCCACATGGAATCCAGGATTCCTCCTTCTAGCCTCCACAAGCACTACAAACATAATACAATATCATACATGCAGGCCAAAAGCCACCCACACTCATAAAAATAAATCTAAAGTTTAAAAAAAGTAAATAAAACACAAAGGTAAGGTAAGTTATTGCTTGTACTTTACTATATACATTTAGAGGAACAATTTAAAATGGCAGTTTCTATTAAAAAAGCAAACTAGTTTTCATTTAAAGAGTAGATGCATTTTAGTTGGAAAAATAGTGCTTTAATAAAGAATGTATGTCAGGCCCGAGGTTTCGTCCTCATCATAATTAAAATAGCATTGTATATCAACATAACAGATTCTCTGCAAAATAGACAATTACAGCGTACAAAACAGTATGATAGCAGTCAAGAAAGTATAATTATTTAAAGAGAAAACAGGAAAAATTAACTAAAAGGAAAAGGGGGACAGAGAATAGGGAAAGCATTAAATATGATGCTGTTGTCAAACACACTTAAAAATAGTTAAACATATCTATAGATATGCTTTAAAATAATGCATGACAATTTCTATATAGCTGCATATACTTCTAAGTTTTCTTCCTAAAATAGTTTGTAGAAGCCTTATACATACAGACACAGACACGCACCACACCCATACACACCCCGTAGTTTCTATGCCACCAGCAGGACCCCACTGTTACTGATCCCTTACAAACACTGTAGTTTTACTCTTCTGAAGTAATCTGAAGATTATTACTCTTCATACCCTTAGGTTTTCCATCCATGGATTCCAGCAACCTCAGAATGCATTTAGGGGAAGCACTTGCACCCATTCTGAAAAGGATTCTTCCCTGGATGACAAAACTGAAAAGCATTCGAAACATCTACACTGTGAGAGGTAGTTATCCTCTAGAGGTGACTTTTAAGTTAAGGGAGTTGCAACCTCAGAAGTTTTACAACCATGCCTACAAACATTATGATCTCAGCTGCATGTGGTGGCTCAACCTGAACTCAATTCCAAAACTCAACGGCTGACAGAGGACAACTGAAAGCAACCCTGAACTACCTAGTGAGTGCCAAGCTATGTCGGGCTACGGTATAAGCACCTTTCTCACTAAACTCATACCTGTTTACATGTCCTTTACATATTCTACATGTAAAACACATCTACTGTTTAACAAAATACTGTTTTGAATGGGGATATAAATGAGCCACTTTTCCCCCAATTTTTCACTTGCAAGACTGATAAACTATATATATTTATTTCTTGGGGAAAAAAGAATAAGCCTACTAAAGAGTTATGAGTAATTAGGATAAAAATTGTAATTACAACAAGCTTGCAGTTGTTGCAGTAAGCTTGACAATTTCACAAAACAATGGTATTTCTGATGAGTTTAGAGGTGATGTTTGATGCTCTAAATGAAATATGTCCACATCTTTAAGATCTGCACAAATCACTGGACTATTCTCAGAGCCACCAATAAATCATGCTACAAGAATCATATAAGTAAAAAAACTGTTCCAAATATAAGAAAAGCCAATGGATTCCAATGTCCCGTCTTGGCATTACTATAAGAACAGAGCTACAAAAACAAAAACTCTAGAGTCCTCAGTACTACTGTTTCATGTAAAATGAGTTTAAAAGGAGCTGGGCAGTAGTGGCACATGGCCTGTAATCACAGCACTCAGGAGGCAGAGACAGACGGATATCTAAGAGTCTGAGGCCTGCCTCATGTACAGAGCAAGTTCCAGGACAGGCTCCAAAGCAACAGAGAAACCCTGTCTCAAAAAATAAACTTTAAAAGGAAGCCAGGTGTAATGGTGCACATCTTTAATCCCAGCACTTGGGAGACAGAGGCAAGTGGATCTCTGAGTTTGAGGCCAGCTTGGTCTACAGAGTGAGATCCAGGGCTACAGGAAAACCTTGTCTTGAAAAGAATCAACAGAGTTTAAAAAGGAGGGGCTGGAGAGAGAGGTTCAATGGTTAATAGCACTTGCAGAGGAAGCATGTTTGGTTCCCAGCACCCACATGGTAGTTCACAACTCCACTTCCAAGGGATTTGACACCTTCTGGCCTCCATTTGACCTGTATGCACATTGTACACTTGGAGGCAACACTCTCATACACATAATATAAAACCCTAAGTAATTTTTTAAAGTGAAAAGAGGTCACAAGATCAAATATCTGAGGAATTATTGAAAACAAAATGATCTAATCATACATTGGCATACATTTATTTTAAAAATTACTACATGGGAGCCAAGTGTTAGTGGCGCACACCTTTAGTCCCAGCCCTCAGGAGGCAGAGGCAGGCGGATCTCTGTGAGTTCAAGGCCAGCATGGTCTACAGAACTACTTCTGGGACAGGCTCCAAAGCAATACAGAAACCCTGTCTCAAAAAAAAAAAAAAAAGATTACTACATGGTAAAGTTGTACTAAGACTGGCAGGAAAATCCAGAAGCCATGGGGAAAATGATTATTTGCCTACATAAATATTAAAATACTTTTAAATCCCATATAATTCCAAAAAAAAACCTAATAAAAAGTAAATTGGAACTACATTTACCGATTTAATATTCCTACTATTTGAATGCCTGGAAATCAACTTGAAAGATAATTCAAAAGAAAAAAAAAAGATATAGGTTAAAAACAGACTCTCCAAAGAGAAAAAAACCCCAAGTGACCAAAAGAATATGAAAGTGTTCTGAAATGTAGTACTTCCCACTTCAGGCCGGCACCCACTTGGTTACAACAAACACCTCATGCACATGTGGACACACACAACAGTTCTGCAATGTACAGCACTTTTAACAAAGGTTAAACATACTACCTGAGAAAGCAAACACACTTTATACACACTATCCCATCCTGTCCCCCCACCCCTGTTAAGGGTTTATAAGAAAATACAGAAACCACAAAACTTATGGTAAGTCAGTAATGCTTCAAGTATTAAAACGCATTTATAATATTTTCCCAACTGGCATACTTTACCCAAAAAAAAAAAAAAAAGATTAGAACTTAGAGGAAAAACTAATCTCTCAAGAGTTACACTTTTCCATGATCTCACATCTCTCCGCAGTATAAAGGTGTGCTGGATTACTTCCCTCCAAAATGCCACCAAACTAGTAACTGTGTTCAGACAGCTAAAAGCAGAGTTAGCTGTGTGTGAGTGTGTTTACCATGTGCACACAACGGACGAGTGAAGGTAGGACTGGATCTCCTGAAACTGGAGAGCTACTGACAGTCCTCAAAAGCAAACCAGGGTCCTCTGCAAGATCGGCTTAAAAAGATTTGCCTTTGGCAAATAAATACACAAACCAGAAAGGAACTGGGCGCTCAGAAGTCAGTTCCAGTTTATTTGTTTCCAGGTTCATGTAAAGTTTCCATTTTCTTCCCACCATCAGTAAAGGAAAAATACTTTGCATTACATAATCTGAAAACCCAGAAACTAAACCAGACACAGACTGGGAGGTATAGGAGAAGCTAGAGAAAACTCGTATAACAAACGACCACCCATCTTCCCGTTACACTGCTGATTATGAAGACCTGCTCTCTTAGTTCCTCCTCTCTGGTCTCTATGTGCCCACCTCCTCTAACCTCACACACCCATCTCTCCTTTCTCAGTCTGCCTTCATTCCCATTCTTGCTTTCTGTATGTCCTGTCCTCTGTTCAAATGCTCCAACCTGTCACCCTTCACCTACACTTCACTAAAGTCAGCAAAGAGTTGTTTAATTGTCCAACCCAACAGATGCTGTGAGACCTTGAATAAGCCATGTTCCTGTACCCCCTGGTCCTCCACTCTGTCCTGTCTTTATGACTATATCCCTTCTATAGTCCTTCTCAACAAAAATCTTCTGTGGGCTGATGCCTGAGCATATATATCTAAAACGAGTTATATCTCACTTCTGTTAAACCTATCTTGTGCACCACACCCTTCTTACCTGTATCAGAAAGCGGCTTACCTGTTCTGTAGAGGGTGTTTGATATAGTGCTCTGGGTTGGCAACCTCCTGATTAGACTCTGTTTTTTCCTCTTCCGCAGGTGGGGGATTAGTAGTAGGGGTGGTTTCCTAGTGGAAAATAAATAGGATTAAAAAAACAAAACAAAACAGCAATACTATAAACAAGGTTAATATAATGAAGAGCAGATAGTTTCACAAGACTGACTGCATACCAACCCTTGGAACAATCAGACCACTCTAGCTCTTCATTAAAACAGAAAGGCTTCTCAACTGTGATTTTTATAAAACTGTAGATACCCTATTTGCACATATTTAGATCATCAAAGATTATGCATAAAGGTTAATGGCCCCTCCAAAGCTACCTAAAGAATCCATCTCAAAAAAATTTAACCAAACAAGCCCCCCCCCAAAAGGTTAATGACCCAACTTTCATAATATGCTAAAATATCATGGAAGGGTGGATGGCACAGGTCAATGGTAAAGCATGTGTCCAGCATGCAGGGGGCAGTGTGTTCACATCTCAGGCCCACAAAAGAGGTAAAATAGTACTCTATCTTATGGAGGTGGACCTGGGAAAGGTTTAAAGCTGATATAAGAAAAACAGAAATCAACGTTCAAGTGACCAAGCCAGTGGTACAGAAGGCCTTCATAACTTCATGACAGACTCACTGCTTGACACAACGGCTATTTGGAATTTTCTGTGCTGATATATTATTTGATTTATTAAAGCTTCCCTGAGCTAGAGAAGCCAGGCACACACCTTTAATCCTAGGACTCATGATTAAGAGACAGACGGATCTCTGTGAGCCCAAGGCTACCCAGATCTATACAAGTCCTAAAGAGAAACAGCTCACACAAAGATGATCTCAGCACCCGAGATCACACACCTTTAATCTCAGCATTAGGGAGGTATATAAGACAGGAGCAAGGTCTCAGTGTCAGGCATTCATTCTCCAGATTCTCCAGCTACACTGAGGAGAGGCAGAAGGGTCAGCCCGTTCAGCCTGAGGTAGTGGAGAGTTAGTGGCTTCACTATCTTGCTTCTCTAAGCTTCAGCTTGATGTCTGAAACTCAATATCTGTCTCTGGGTCTTTTATTTTTCATGATACAATTTTCAACAGGCAACAATGAAAGAAGGTAGAATTTATTCTTAAACTTGAGGCTATTTTTCTAGTCATAATTAATATTGTCACTGAAACTATGAAAAGGAGCCCGGGAACAATTTAAAGTATTCATCACTTTGCCTCTTGCAGTTCCTCAGCCTACTAAAAACTGGCCTTAACAGTTAAAATCACCAAAGGAAGTCATTAGAAGCTAAAGCATGTGCCAGAACACATATGCACACCCACACATGCACTTTAAAGGGAAGTGCTTTGCCTACATGTATGCCTGTGCATCTCAGCATCACAAGAATACAACGCTTAAGGCCACAACAAGCTGCTGTTGGCAGCCCTGAGAGCTCCAGAACTTGGGGTCTCTGGGAGAGCAGCAGTCAGTGCTCCTAACTGCTCAGCCAGCTCTTACCTGCTGCTGCTGCTTCTTCTTTTTTTTTTTTTTTTTTTTTTTTTTTTTGAGATTTGTTTTTCATTCTTTTTTAAAATTTAAATTTTATTTTTGTTTTACTTCGTTTTTTGAAACAAGGTTTCTCTGTATTGCTTTGGAGTCTGTCCTGGAACTCGCTCTGTAGACCAGGCTAGCCTCAAACTCACAGAGATCCACCTGCCTCTGCCTCCCGAATGCTGGGATTAAAGGCATGTGCCACCAACACCCAGTTATTTTTAATGTTATATGCACTGGTGTTTTGTCTGCATGCATGTCTGTGTGACAATACGGGACCCCTGGAACTGGAGTTACAAACAGTTGTGAACTGCTATGTGGGGACTGGGAATTGAACCCAGATCCTCTCGGACCAATGCTCTTAACTGCTGAGTCATTTCTTTGCGTCAATATTTTTTATTTAATTTATATATTCTTCAGCACTGGACATCAAACCTAAGGCCTTGTATGTATGAAGCAACACTGAAATATACTCCCAGTCTAACTACCATGACCCATAGAGATGCACGCTCTAATAGACCTCAACTAGATCCAATAAATACTAAATTTAAAGGGTACTTTTCTTAAATCAGCCTATAATATGTTCAGAAACTTTATTCTCTGAGCCCAGACACATCAGCAAGCACCTCCGAGTCCAGTACCATATTGAGATGAGAAGCAAGACAGGACCACCCAGAGGTTGTGGGCCAGTTAGTTTTGAGTATGAGATACACAGGTGTGAGCATAGGTGTGAGCATAGGTGTGCGCGCACGCGCGCGCACACACGCACACTACAAAAATAAATAATCACTATTTAAAAATAAGAGGCTGGTCAGATAGTTTGGCAGGTAAAGGTAGGAGTTCAATCCCTAGGTACCCACATGATAGGAGACAACTGGTTCCTGCAAGTTCTCTTCCTGATACCCATGTTCCCCTTACATATACACTAAGTAAATATAAAAAATGCATAGAGAAATCATTCAGCATCAATTTTGCTTGGATTTTCTCACAACTGGATTACTAATGGCCAAAGCACTTAACCAGAAATTATGAACTTAGTAAATGAATAATTTAAACATTTATATAAATGAATCAAGGGCCTAAAATTTACATGTAGTCCACCACTCCTTAAAACAAAATCATTCTATTTTCTCATTAGCCAATTTAAGTCGTAACAGGCCAACCACTAATGCCATTTCCTCACTGACTAGATTAAAATAAACAATGCTGCCCAGGCAGTGGGGATTTCAATGATTAAAAAAAAAAAAAAAAAAAAAAAAAAAAAAAAAAAAAAAAAGGAACAGTGGCCAGCGGACCTCGGGTGACAGTGCGCCACCAGAGAAAATGAGTGATAGAAAAGTGAGCCACCAAAAAGGCTACGTTCGGGTCCTTGGTCTTGTGGTGACTCTCACAGTATGGCTCTGGGAGTCCAACAGAGAACACAGAGTCCAGGCACGAGAGGCCTCCTTCCATGTTGGGGAAACCGAATCCATATGGGGGAGAGGGGGTGTTCAGCTTTCAGAAACCAGAGATAAAAATCATGTATTACAGAGTCTTATGAACTACTAAAAACAAATCTTGATAGTGTCAAGGACATCTATCTATGGATTAACCGACTCCAAAAATAAAACTGTACTCTTCAGCCTGGGGTGGAGGGGGGAGTGTTGCACGCCTTTAATCCCAGCAGCAGGTAAATTTGAGGCTGAAGCCAGCCTGTCTACATAAGAGTTCCAGAACAGAGATACCCTGTGGGGGGGGGGGGAGAGGGGAAGCCCACAAACACAAACAACTGAACTCTTTAGAGAGGATAATAATACAATCTTAAGCCTCTGTGAGAATCAAGCTTACTGGGGCTGCAGAGATAGCTCAGTGGTTAAGGGGTGGTGGCCACACACGCCTTTAGTTCCAGCACTCTGGAGGCAGAGGCAAGAAAATCAGAATTAGAGGTCAGTCTGGTCTACAAAGTACGTTCCAGGACAGGCTCCAAAGCTACAGAGAGACCATATCTCCAAAAATTAAATAAAAATAAAAAGAATTTTCTTAATTCTTTTTCATTAGGATATGTTACCAGTCTTAACAACTATAATTACCACTGAGATAGAAATTATTCATTTTAGAAAGTGTTTAATTTATGATTGTTTAGACTGTGTGTGTGTGTGTGTGTGTGTGTGTGTGCGCGCAATGTTCACAAAAGTTAGGCATCCTAGAACTAGAATTACAGATGGCGGTGTGGGAGCGGGGAACCAAACCAAGGTCATCTCGAAGAGCAGCCAGTTTTCCTAACCACGCTATCATTTTTCCAATCCTTAATTTTATTTTTTTGAGACAGGGTCTCACTATGCAGCCCTGGCTGGACTGGAAGGAGATCTGCTTACTTCTGCATCCCGAGTGCTAGGATTAAAATCGTATGCCTCGACATACTGCCTCCTACAAAGTAATTGAAGGACTGAGGAAGACTCAAGACTCAATGCTCCAAGCTAGCCTATGCTGCCTAGCCATTTTGAGGTCAGTCTACACAACTTTGTGAAACCCTGCCTCAGAAATGTAGCTGAGGCTGACTTCCAACCGGCTATGTAGTAGATGATGATGCTCAGTGCTAGGACTATATATAAGTGCACATCACCATGACTGCCTTTTCCCATCACATCTTAAATGCCCATATTTTAACCAGGATTTTCAGGTTTGCAAGTCATTTGAACAGAAACATAAAGGCTAACACAATAGATTATGGTTACTCTCAAAACAATTTAACACATTTTTAATCTAACAGACAGCCTGCCCTTGAAAGGCCATAGTTATCAAGTACATTTCACACAGGTAGACCAGAGGAAAAAAGAGCAAAGCCATAGGATGGTATGTACTGTTTATCTAGACCATAACCAAAGTACCCAAAGTGAGAGTAGCCCATGAAACTGAAGAGTGGATGGACAGTATGCGGCAGAGACTATGAAGGCCGTGGATGTCAAGCCAAAGCACACCTCATCATTTAAGCAGTGGAAGCTATTAACCACCAGGTGAGAGAGATTAAATACCCATAGCAAGTAAGGGAAGAGAAAAATACCATCAGTTCAAGTGCAAAAGAGTAAACTTGATTTTAGATCAGTTGAATGTGTCAAATAAGGAGTTCAGTACTATACTTTAGGGATTCCAGTTTCAGTAAGCTCTGCACCAACAGCAGAAAGTTGAAAAGAAAGGAAAAAAAGCCAAGAGCAGGATAAATCTAACTGCTGCCCGGTGGGGGGGGGGGGGGGGGGGGGAATCTCAGCTTTTTCAATATTCTGTAAAAATTAGAACATGTCAACAAATTAATATTACAAACATGTCATAGTCCTAATATTATATGGCTGATTGTTTATTGTGTCTACCCCATGTTTGTGGTATTTTCTATAATAAATGTGATGACATTTTAAATTCTCACTCTGATCACAGCAATTTTTCATCAGTTCCCAAAATCCTGGTAAGTTTGTTTGTGGTTTTAAATACTCAAATCTGTCACCAACTTGCAATGCGAAGATGCATTTAATCCTCTCCTCTGGCAATGAGGGTTAGCCCTCCAAGACACTCATGTGTCT